TTGCTCGCAGAAGGAGACGGCAGAGTTCCACGCACTCTCGCTCCGCACGATAGCCGCAACCAGGCTATCGAGCGAGAGAACTCCCACTCCGATGGCCGCCACGAGGTCTCGCCTCTGCTCAACCCACGCCGGGCACTCTGCCAGCGTGTGGAGAGCCGTGTCCACGGTCTGGCCATCGCAGTGGTGGCACTTTATAGCCCCCCCTAAGAATTCGATCTACCAGTACAGACACAACGTTTTTTAGAAGCTAGAACCGTACCAAAACCTTATTTTCAACTTGCAGAATATGAGATAATTTTACGTCAGTTATTGGTGAGCAGGATGATGAGTTCAGAAACTGTGCATCTGTTGACGATATGGTGCATGTTTTTTACAAGCTATTAATACAGATCATAAGTAAGTTTATACCTATGAAAAAAACATATATCCACCGTGGTACCCTCGTGAAATGGTACGACTCCTTAGAGAAAAATACAAATACCATGTCCGTTTTAAAAAATACAAAACTCCACTAGACCAAGTTGCTTTTAAGGAATAACGGAATGAATGCAAGCTTTTGAATTCAGCATGCTACAGATTTAAATTGCAAGTATAGAAAACGCCATAACAAAAAAAACATAAAATATTCTGGACTTTAAAAAAAAATAAAAGAAAAGGTAGTGGTACATATCCGGCACAAATGTCTATGAATAACAAAACCGCAGTAAGCGGAAAGGAAATTTGTGACATGTTCAATAATTTTGCTAGGAATCTGATCTGAATGATCTGATACTTTAAACCACACATATCTGAACAACAACACGGTTTCGTTAAATCTAGATCAACCAATATGAACCTATTATATTTTACATCAGTTTATCTAAAAGTCTTAAGAGTAGTATTCCGGTAGATGCCATCTACACCGATTTTAGCAAAGCATTTGATAAAGTAGATCACCACGTTCTTATTCTTAAATTGGCTCAACTAGGCGTAGGAAGAACGGATCGGGTGGTGTCAATCTCACCTAGGAAACAGCTCTCTGTTTCCTTAATTATAACTTTTGACTATTCAAAAGTGGTAATTAACGGTCACTTCTCTCAAAGCTTTCTAGCAACGTCAGGAATTCCACAAGGATTGCATTTGGGTCCGATTCTTTTGAACGTTTTTATAAACGATATAACTGAATGTTCTAAACACTTCCGGTATTACTCGTTTGCTGACGATTTAAAGATAATGAAGCCCATATAAAATGTTTCACGAAGACATTGACCGCTTTGTAAACTGGTGTTAACTTAACAAAATGTCTTTAAACTTCACTAAGTGTTACCATTCACACGTAAAAAGAAAATGTTAGACAACAAAATCCAAATTGAGGGTATTGAAATGAAGAGACAGGGAAGTGTACGTGACCTTGTAGTTCAACTAGACATAGCGCTGAAGTTCAATTACCATATTCTAAATGTTGTCTCTAAAGCCTTTAAAGAACTGGCCTTGGTTTTGTGAAATAGTAAAGAGTTTAAAAACCTATCTACAAAAATAAAGCTCTTCAACATACTATTCCGCCGTATCCTAGAATATAATTCAGTGGTATGGAATCTGCACTACGAGGTATACATCAAACGAAAAATATATATGGAATACAGTTCTCATCTCTATGGACCGCATCCAACGAAGAGCGACTCGAATCGTCGATAGCCCAAACATCTCCGATCCCTTGGCGTTACGTAGAGATGTGGCTTCACTCTGAATTCTCTATCGCATATATCATGGAAAGTGATAATTATTCGGACTAATACCAGCCGCAACTTTCCGCCATCGTTCCACACGGCAAAATTTTCATCCTTATCACCTGGATAGTTGGCGCGCCCCTACTGTGCACTTTTCGAGATACTTTTTACCCCGCACAACCAATCTGTGGAACGAGTTATAGCGGTTTTCCAGACCGATGCGACCTTCAAAAATTCAAGAAAAGAGAGTACTCCTTCCTAAAAGGCCGGCAACACGTTTGTGACTCCTGAGTTGCAGACGTTCATGGGTAGCGATGGTCACTTTCCATCAGGGGACCCGTCTGCTCGCCTGCCCCCTCTGCCAGAAAAAAAAACGAATAGAGTGTTCAAAAGCGCTTCCTCTATCACCTGTGCTATGGTGATCACTTAGCTAAGCAACTTACGAACTACACTGACAGGTTGAGACACTATAATATGGATACTTAAGCCAGTCGTAGGAAGAAGCTGGACTTCATTATCCTTAACAAGGTACTAAACGGAGCATGAGATTGCAGTGTGCTTTTGAGTACATTACCCATTCAAATCCCCCCCCCCCCCTCCCAACTCGGATCCCCAGCCATAACACTTTTAGACTATTTGACATCCCTGGCTCCAATACAAACCTGGGCCATTACGCGCTGTGCCAAGACTTTTTAGGCAATGTAACATGTTAGCCAAAACGACTGATTTAGAAATCGGCCTATCTTTGTCTAAATATAAGAAATGCCTCAATGTTATTATTGTTTAAGCCTCAATGTTATTATTGTTATTGTTTGATTTTAATTTTATCAATTTTTTGTAACTTATTTAAATTTTTAATTATTATTTTTTGATGCATTTTTTTAAATTCTGTTTTTTGTTACTTTTAAGACTTCGCTTGGTTAATGTGATTATTATTTTTTCACTGTGCTTGATGTGGTCTCCATTAAGTGAAGGAGTACACCGACTTTATCTCCTTCAGTCAATTATTGTCTTTTTTTACTTGTATAATCTTTCGTAGGAGATCCTAATAAATAAGTATGTAAGTATGGATCATCAACAGCCTATAACAGTCCATTACTGGACATAGGCCTCTCCTTAGAAAGGAGGTTTTGGCCTACTATACCACGCTGGCCAGACGGGTTGATATAGGGTTCCTCGACGGGAGGTGGCTCTTCGACGAGCACTTCCGACAGCTTGCTCCAAAGCTGGTCGGCGCTGCGTCTGCCCTAGGGCGACTTTTGCCCAATATGGGTGGACCCAGCGTCGCGACAAGACGGCTGTACACGGGGGTTGTCCGGTCAATGGCACTGTACGGTGCACCGGTGTGGGCGGCGGCTCTGACCGCCCAGAATAGGGTACGCCTCTGGCGCCCTCAGAGGGTAATGGCGGTCAGAGCCATACGCGGTTACCGCACCGTTTCGACGGATGTGGCGTGCGCGTTGGCCGGAACTCCCCCGTGGGATTTGGAGGCGGAAGTGCTCGCCGAAGTTTATCGGCGAGTGGCTGACTACCGGGCGGAGAGCGGATTTCGCCCTCCGCCCGAGGATGTGCGCGAGTGGCGCGAAGCCGCTCGCCGAGCCACGATGGCTCGTTGGTCGTTCCGGCTGGAGACTCCACGCGCTGGCTTCGCCGCCGTGGAGGCTCTCCAGCCGGTCATCGCCGAGTGGGCAGGGCGGCAGCACGGGACCCTTTCCTTCCGACTGACGCAGGTGCTTTCCGGGCACGGTTGCTTCGGAAAGTACCTGCACACGGTCGCTAGGAGGGAACTGAGTCCCGCCTGCCACCACTGCGACTGCAGTGAGGACTCGGCCCAGCACACGCTGGCGGTCTGCCCCGCATGGGCGGCGCAGCGCCGGGCCCTCACTGCAGTCATCGGAGTGGATCTCTCGCTACCGGCCGTAGTACGCTCCATGGCCGGTAGCGACAGTTGTTTTACCGCGGTCGCAACCTTCTGCGAGGTAGTAATCTCGCGGAAGGAGGCGGCGGAAAGGGCCCGGGAGGACGACCTCCACTCGGACCCGATCCGCCGCCGGCGAACCGGGCGGCGGAGGCCCGCCTACCACAGCCTCATGCCGCCCTGAGTGTGGCCGCGGGTGGACGGGGTGGGTTTCCCCTCCACCCGCATTAGTTGGCCAGCCGCGAGGGGGCGGCGTCCGCGTGTGCCGGACGTCGCCTAAAGAGAGGAACAACAACAACATTGAGACGGAGCCCGCACCAGGAGCGGGCTGGCGCTAGGAGGGGTCCGGATGTCTTAACAACAGCTGTTCCCGGATCCCTCCTGTTACAGGCGCAGAGTGGCACACCGTGTGGTTTTAGTCGGTCCGAGTCCGACACACCACCCCGCCGCAAACCCCGGAGGGGTGACGGTCCGAGGGGATTTCCACACGTTAAAAAAAAAAAAAAAAAAAAAAAAAAAAAAAAAAAAAAAAAAAAAAAAAAAAAAAAAGGGTTTGTTTCAAGTTTTCCTTCTCTTTGCAGTGTTGTCTTGCGTAGTTTTCTCCCTTAGTCGACTTTTACGACACCCATGGGATGAATAGGGGTGGTGACATTACGTATTCTTAATCCGTCACCACACGGATATAATCAATATACTAACTGGCTACTACCACTAATTAAGTACAATAATATTGGTTATTAACAGAGATAATGTTTATTTGTTTACCATCACAAATATGTAGATGTTATTGTATTCATATCTGAGTTCATACACTTGTAATTGATATATGTAATATGTTTTTGTATTGCGAGAGGTCGTGGGCTCCATTCCCACCCAGGACAAATTATTGTATGATGAGTACGATGATATTTTGTTTTAACAGCTACGTCAGCATGGAATTTAATATGTTAATGTTTATCTATAATATGTATTTAAAAATATATAAAAATTGGATTTTGTCTATAATTTCATCGTTTTACTCGTTTATTCTGTTGGTTTTTCATCTTAATTTGTTAATAACAATTGCAATTTTTTATGTTCTTATACATACTTTCGATACATCTTTCTAGATGGCAGCTTTTCTATTTTTAGGAGCTTTATCAAGATTTAACACCTTTTGAACTTGTTGACTAGCCTAATCGTGCAAATATAAATAAGCTGAAAAAAATATTATTTTGATTAGTTGTTGTTGAGTAAATAAGGTTACCAGAGCCAAAATTATCCCTTTTCCCCTGATTCTTAACTTGGGGGGCAATGGGGGAGGGGGCGGTGACCCGTCTGTTCTTTTGCCCCCGTATGACATAAAATTTCAATTCTATAAATCTCTTTTTTCACAGGTGAACTATGCAACGCACCAAATGAAACTACCAGGATGACAGAAAAGCCAGGAGTACGTTTCGAAGAAGCCGAAAGAAAGAAGGGTGTTATTCTAACATCTATTGCCGTGTCGTGTGCTGCCTTAGGATGGCTGACACGTGGATCACCGACTGTGGTCGGCGCGATAGCACTATTAGCCACATATTTCATGACTGGTGATAGATACCAGTGGATTTATATATGGAAGAAAACACATAATAGAGATCTTCAGTAAGTACTTCATAATTAATTTATATTTTTTTTAGTTGTTCTCGTAACACTATGTCGGAATGTGCCATTGGATTTCAAAACATTGAAAAGCGACACTATAGCTAGTTGTAAACTACATTTATATGAAATAATACCAACTTAAAGGAGTCAATTTTTTAAAAGAACTGCCTTTTAAAAATCCAGCCCTATTTATAAACAGCTTTTATAAATATACTTAAATTGGATCTTTTGGATCTGGATTGTTTATTTCACGTATTTTTTTAATAGCGTTAATGTTTAATTTCTAGTCGGTTTATGCATGCCTAGTAACACTAATAAAAGTTGAAAAAGAATAAAACGTAAAAATCCTTGGTCGGTTCATGTAGACAAAACCACTGGTGGGTGGCATCCGAGGGGATTACCGCATAGACAAAAAAAGAAAGGTGTGTTAAAAGAAAAGTAATAAAAACAAGAGGTAACCAAACATACATCAGCAATTCGAAATTGTAAGCGAATATAAAGGGTTAAATGGCCTACTTCTAACAATGGCAGTGCACATAATATTATGACTCTGGAGGGGACGGTATTTGAGGGCGGCGTTGTGACGTATTAAGAATACAGAGTGCCAGCACTCCTTTTCATTCCTTGGTCGTCTTAAAAGTCGAGTAAGGGATCAAACTACGCAGGACAACCTCAGTGCAAATAAAACGAATACTTGACAAAAACCCTATACCAACCCGCCTGACCAGCGTGGTATAGTAGGCCAAAACCTCCTTTTTAAGGAGAGGCCCATGTCCAATAGTGGACTAGTAAAGGCTGTTGATGAAACCGTTGGGATCAACTGATCTTGGCTCCAATATGAGCAAAGAGCTTACAGAATACTGGAATATTTCGATCTTTCGATCAATGCTATCAGGTACCTATCCTCACCTCTCCAGGTAGTAGATCAAAACCTATTTTCTAAGGAGAGGTCTATGTCCAGCTGTACACTATTAAATGCGATGTGAAGGGTGGCGTTAGTCTCTTATCGTCAGGTGACTTTTCTGCCTCCAGGTACGCTCTTTTTTTAAGTTTGGAATTCATATTTTATTGTTCAAAAGATCCTGTATTCTTTTGGCATGGAATCGCTTATGGAAATACTTTGAACTATTAAAGTTATACAATTGTATTCGTAGTTATGAAATAATTGCGGTTGTACAACTCGGTTATGTGAATGATCTATAATTTAATTCTACCAGCAAACGCTTTAGTGTCGATGATAAGGTTTCAATATCGAAGGCCCTATTTTTTTATGTTATAGCGGGCAGACGAGTGTTGAATATACTATGCTAGAGTTCGTGGGCTCGATTCCCATCCAGTACAAATAATTGTGTGATTAGTACGATTATTTGACCTGTATATTATTATCTATAAAATGTATGTATTTAGAAACATATTTATATGTATGTTTATCAGCGGTCTGTTGATCATAGTACAGACCATAGAGTGATCAAGAGCCCCAATCTTCCAGTATAGGCAACGACAGAGAGGGAGAATAGATAGTTTCCTCTATCTCTTTCTAGTCAAGCTCTGTGGTTGGCTGGGGAAATTTCTAATCTCACGCCTGTTCTACGATCAAAACTAGGCACACTTTATGACAGCCAATCGCAACTTAGCTAAACAGAGGCGAGAACGAGAGATATGGAAGCCTGGCATGTGATATGCAAGTAAGCATATCTCTAGTTGCCTGTATCGTTTGCACTTACAGGCAGCTGTACCCCGTGTTCTCTCTATGCTTATATCTCTATGGTACAGACTCAGCCTAGTTTATGGTTAGACAGCCGTGTGGAGGTGTTTTAAGTTTTTATTGGTCGGTTTTATAAAAAATATCTTGATCTCATTTAAAGTAATACATGAATCTCATTACAATAGCGTACCAGGGAATAATAAGTGCGTAGATGTCTCTCAAGTTGAATGATAAACTTGTTTACAGCGATAAAAGTATTCTATCGCACGTTTCTTTCTAGCCAATTCTAGATTTTGGGTGCGTAATTTACACATTGCTTCGATTGGAATATTTTAGACCGACTCTTTATTCAAGCAGTGATTTTTATTGTGGCAAACAGTCACGAAAATGAACCGAGTGAATGAAGTAACCACCTATGGGAGGGGTCCCTTCGTTTTCCTAATTCTGGAGGAGGTTCATTCCTACAAATAAGATTATTTGTACTAATGCTGTGCTGTGATATTGATATTTACATTAACCAGAAAAATACCATTCATAGGTGATTTTTAGGGACTTTAAGGTGTCGAAAAAAAGGCGGAAAAAAGAAAGAAAAGAGCGTGTAACGCGCGATAAGGAACTTCGTTTCAAAATTAAAATCGGTCCTTAAATGACGGAGTTCTGAGAAAACAAACATAAAAAAAACAAACCGATTCTCTAAATTTTAGATTATTGGTTAAAAATGTAGTTGGATATACGATAAACATGATTTTTATGTGTTGAATCTTGACATCAACACACACACAAACACAAGAACAATAAATACATAATACAAAAAATCTTGCTGCAATGAACGTTACTCCCAATTCAAACAGTGAATCGATTTTATAACTATCAACAGTGCAAGGGTCGCGATTCGGTATCACGTGTCTGACAGCTCTGTTCATTCATCGCGTCCTGGTACTTGTAAACGATACAAAGTCCACAATTCTTTACATTCCACTACAATGGAGGGATTTTGTTGCATATTGATAATAATTTTAGCAAGTGGCAAACGAGCTTACTGGTCACCATTGTTAATGACTGCCACCTAAAATTAGGAGTCAGTCAAATGAATATTTACCATACGTAGGTACCATAGAGTTTACTTTTCTTTACAAGTTTACATAACAGCCATAATTTGATTTCTTTGTGAAGAAAGATAAAAATAACTAGGAATTATATGCTTGAAGACTTCTCTAAGATGTTGAGATGCCCCTGACTTAAAGCCGACACGAAAGATATTTGTTGGTAATTCTGCCTCTTACCTCCTCCCACAAATAATTAGGCTCCAGTAACCTCACTAACTCGGTCTCGTTCCTCGTCTCAATGGATGAACTCATTTGGGAAAAAAGGCTCGGAAGAAGAATTCTTTCGTGGGGGACAGACAGTATCTAAAAGTACAATACTTGTGTTGTAAGACCTTTTGTTTCGAACAATATAACCGACAAATTGTCCCGCATCAAACAATTGGACGCATCAAACGCCCCTTTATTACTTCGTGTAGTATCCATTTTGTTGCAATAATAATACGATTCTTTTCAATTTGAGTAACTATTGGGATGGGTACAGTGAATGAAAGCTACACTAAATTTGGATACAGAAAGCGGTATCTTATTTGAAAACATTTTTGAGTAGGCCAAACCGAAATTGCCTAGAAACTGAACTAACAAGCTGGTTTTTAGTATTTTAATCAGGCAAGGATCTGTTAAGGATGCTTGAAAATACTTCTAGCTATTCCAGAGAATTACACTGTCAAATTCAAGATTTTTCCAACTTTGGTTAGTGGTTGTACAAATGAGTGCGTGCAACCAATGAAAATAAATAAATTTGTAATAGAAGCTCGCTCAGCTTCTGTTAATGCAATAGTTTATACAATTTTCATATGGATATGTTTTGTATGTATAAAATATTGTGTCACACATCATCACATCAACAGCCTTTAATAGGCCACTGCTGGACATAGACCTCTCCTTAGAAAGGAGGTTTTCGCCTACTATACCACGCTGGTCAGACGGGTTGGTGTCAAGTTTTCCTTCTTTTTGAAGTGCTGGTGTCCTGCGTTATTTTGCGCCCTTAGTCGGCTCTTACGACACCCATCTGATGAATTGGGGTAGTGACATTCCGTATTCTTAATCCGTGTAGTGACACGGTATGTGTATGCAGAACCTAATCGTAGAGTGTAAAGAATTACATTCGCGAATCGATACATCAATTTTGAAATGGATCCACAAATTGTTGTTCTGAGTCTCGGTGTCCTTTGTGTGTGGTATGGGCGGGGGCCCTGAAGGCCAGCAACGTCGCGATACTGCGACGACCGCAGCGAATGCTGGCCATCAGGATCATAAGGGGGTACCGCACGATCTCCTTTGAGGCAGCGAGTCTCCTGGCCGGAACTCCACCGTGGGACCTGGAGGCGAGAGCCCTTGCGGCACTGTATCAGTGGCGCAAGGAGGCGCAGGAGTTGGGTCGATGCCCCGAGATTCGAGAAATCGATGACCGGAAATCTCAACTCCGCCAGGTCATCATAGGGGAGTGGAGGGAACGACTCGGGCAACCGAGCGCTGGGCACGCCGTCATTGCGGCGGTAAGACCCGTTATGGAGGATTGGCTCGAGAGGCGTCACGGGACCCTCTCATACCGATTGACGCAGGTGATCACTGGGAAGGGATGTTTCGGAGATCACCTGTGTCTGATCCGCAAGGAGCCAACGCCTGAGTGCCACCACTGCGATGGCCAGACCGTGGACACGGCTCTCCACACGCTGGCAGAGTGCCCGGCGTGGGTTGAGCAGAGGCGAGACCTCGTGGCGGCCATCGGAGTGGGAGTTCTCTCGCTCGATAGCCTGATTGCGGCTATCGTGCGGAGCGAGAGTGCGTGGAACTCTGCCGCCTCCTTCTGCGAGCAAGTTATGCTCTCGAAGGAGACGGCGGAGCGGGACCGGGAGAGGTTTAGACCTCTCCCGGCCCGCCAGGCCCGGGCACGGGCCAGGCAGCGCAGGTGACTCAGGCGCCGGAGGTCGCAGAACGACCTCCGTCCTCCATAAGCGCAGGCCTGGGGGTGACAGGTGAGGCCATCTGTCACCCTAGCAGAAGCAGGCCGGGGTGGCGGCGAGCGCGTTGCGAAGCGCGCTCGCTTCCAGGGAGCACAGGGAACATGGGGTTCCCACACGGGGCGGGGGTCGTCTACTCGTCTGTAGATGACCCGAGGTATGTCGGGGCACCAGGGCCTTCCTTTCCAGGGTATACCTGGTTCCCCGGCTATTAGTACACGGCGAAGGCGTGCGGTTTTAGTCGGTTCGAGTCCGACATGCCACCGACAGGTGGTATCCGAGGGGATTTCCGCATGGAAAAAAAAAAAAAAAAAGGGGTGTCCTTCGTGTCCGTTTCATGTATGTTTGTAAAGTCCCCCGCGACACAGGATTTATTCCTAATGCGGGCGTTGTCTTTTTTAAAAAAAAAAAAGAAATAGAACTCACCTAACGCGTCCCCAGTTAATGGCACATAAAGTACTAGGAGATCAGAACAGGCCAAGGTCCAACGGGCAATTGCTACGGACACCTCGTGTTCGCACAATAGAGAGCTATCAACCGCGTCCGGTGTTTCAGATTACTTGTGACGTCTTATGTGTACCTAGTAGTTTAGAAGTAATGAGAACAGAAATAGTCTATATTGATACACTACTAAAGGAAAATCAAAATTGGTACCAACCGCAAATAATTTGATTTCATGAGCATTGGGAACTTGAGGTCATAGGGTCTCGACCGCAAGCGGATGCTTCTTAATTGTAAATATTATGAAGATTATTTTCCTATCAGGACATGAGGCGGTACACTATACTGGTAATTTGACTGCTGGATAGAGTATTTTGAATTTTGCTTTGCGACGTAACGCCAACCGTTTTGATATTTAAACAACATTAAAACTTGTCTGGTTTAGTACAAGCATTCTTCTTTTGTACTGAAAATGTACCGATGCCTCGTTTCTTCATTATGATACAACGTGATTCCGTGAACATCACGTGTTTTGAGTAAACACGTCCATTCAACACACCGGAATAGAGTCTGTAAGCTAATTTGTTCCTGTACCTATCTGAATGGTCAACATTAACCAAACATGAACTAAAACATAAATTAAACTTTAAATTTTATTATGAAAACTTCTTTAGGCGCGTTGAGCATTTTTGAACAACAACAAAAAAACATTTTATGAGATGGAAAAAAAAAACATTGAACTCCCGACACTGTTACCGTTACCGCCTCCCCTGTATATATTTAGTATATTGGCCCCGTTTTTACGAGGGTTGAGTTTGGGTTAAAACATATTGATAATATAACTATATATTGTGTATATTACTTACAACATAGATAATATGTATATATATATTACACATGTCGGTAAAATTTTACCTGTTATAAACAAAAAAAAAAAATTTTCAAGTCTTCACTTCTGTCGGCACTCCGGCAGTAAAAACGACTTCATAAATCTACAAGGATCCAGGACATATTTTAAATTATCGTGGTACATAAAAAGTCTTTACAAAGTCAAAATACGACATTCAAAATTATCAAAATTAGATCATCGACGTTTTCTATACATATAGTTGTTAATATTATCATACCTGTGGACTCTAACCTCATTGGGTATTTGTCAGTATTTAAACCATGGAAATTGGTCAATTCCTTTAAAAAGAAGTCATTTTTTTATTAAACCTAGGGCTTTATACTGGGACAGTAGCAATCAGCAAGATATATGGATTAAGCGTCATTCTTAACTTGCGTTGATTGAATGATTGCTCGAACATACGAGTGCTCGTGAGTGTAAATGTTGTGTAACTACTTCATGTTTATGAATGCCTAGTACATCGCATATAAGATTATGTAATTTTTATTTTTGCATTAGCAGCCAAATAGTTTTATAAGGGTTAACTGTAATTTGAGTTCCATCGGTGCAAAACTTTTTGAGTTTTTCAAGCGTAGACAAACCAATTATTTTTTTATTGAGATAGATCTATGACTATGACTAGACTATGGAGGGAAACCAGATGGTACGTTGCCATTATCGGGAAAGATAGGTAGGCTTTTGATGCCTTTTGGATGGGTAGTTTTTTTCATTGATAGTTGGCCGTAGCGCGATGTTCCATAACCTATAGTTTTTCTCGATAAATAGGCTATCCAACATTAAAAGAATCAAAGCGATTCCACAATAATCAAAACAATCAACAATTCAATCAAACAAACTAAGACGTTGGCCAGACGCTTGGTATAAGGTTTGATTCAAGTTTCCCTTCTCTTTACAATAATGTTGTTTTGCAGAGTTTGTTCTCTAAGTCGGTTCTTACGACACTCTCGACAATAGGGGTGGTGACACTCCGTATTCTTAATTCGTCACCACACGAACAGCATAAATATCAGTAACAGCAGATTGAGCGCACTTTATCAAATATATTATTAATTCCAGAGGTCTTCGGGTGCTTCTGCACACAATATTTTGGATATGGTTATGGGAGAAGCAAGGCAAGACCGTGGTCTCAAGATGGACAGAGGTTGCCAAGATGAATGCGAACAAAAAGGCATTTGTCATGGACGACAGAGCGATAACTTTCAGAGAGGTACTAAAAACCTTAAAATATTATCTAGGATAGATAAAAAAGCGACCCCTAACTAAAAATTCAACTCTAAAAGCAAGCTTAAAAAGGAAATCAAAACTGCTGGTCGGGTGGCTGATGCAACGTCAACAATGCTAATAAAACTTTGTGAAAAGATATTTTTTCTCCATCAACCTCCAATTCAGTAACCCCGCTTTTACAGAACGCGTGATTTCAATTGGAAAAGTTTAATTTTGGTATTCACTATGATCTGTCAAATAAAAACGACAGTTTTGTGAACGTTTTCAAATCAATGCTAACATCATTGAACTGCCATGCCACAAAAGAATTTAAATGTAGTCTCTAGTGAATACCAGTTTTAGTCGTTGGTTTGTTTTTAAAAACTCACGAACGATTTAAACTCAAATATTTTAAAAACATAATTGTACTGAATCGAGTCCCAGGATCGTTTTTTCTGATCCTGATTTCTTAATAAATCTAATGTTTCAGACAATTTATAAAAAAAAAACATGTAAGTTGCTGTGTCATATAAAAAAGTTAATTGTTTTGAATTATTTATTTATATTAAGTTCCCAAAATTTTCCCAAAAAGCAACTACATTTTTCACACAAGGGTTTGAGTTGCCAGGTGTGCATTATTGATTTGCTCTTATCGACTTTTCTTATACAAATAATATAAGAGTATAGATATTAATGTTACGAATAGTCTGGGAAAATTATTGATTGTATAATCTGACGTGATTTTAAGTGTTAAATTTAATTTAATCAAGTTTAATTATAATTAAGTTGGAGAAAGTGTCGTGGCATACTAATACTGGCTTTCCCTGCAATGACAAAAGATGCACCAGAGCTGCTACATGTGTTAGAGGGGGCAGACGAGCAGACGGGTCACCCGATGGAAAGTGACCATCGCCGCCCATAAACGTCTGCAACTCAGGAGTCACAAACGCGTTGCCGGCCTTTTCCTAAAAGGAGTACGCTCTTTTCTTGAAGGTCGTATCGGTCCGGAAATACCGCAGACGAAAACCCGTTCCACAGATTGGTTGTGCGGGGCAAAAAGTGTCTCGAAAAACGATGAGGATGAGGATGAAAATTTTGACGTGTGGAACGATGGCAAAAAGTTGCGGCTGGTATTAGTCCGAACAATTCCTCGGGGCACTCTCCATGATATATGCGATAGAGAATGCAGAGTGAAGCCACATCTCTGCATGACGATGATGGTCATGATCTTCCCATAGAGCTGGTTGTAGTTCATATAATTTCAATCGGATACTATTTAGGTTATAAAATTAAAGTTCATCCTGTCTATGCAAAAAAGAATGCCGTTTGAATGCTGGATCTACCCCTGCGTGTATTACATTCATCTAGTAAAAAAAGAAAAAAAAACTGTGCCGTCACGGGTCATCTGGTATACGAGTATGTGAGACTTCGTAATTACATTTCAGAAATGATGTATATAAAATGATAGCTTTTGAAAAAAAAACGAATATATATAGCATTTTTAATAATAAATTATAAAATTACATTTATTTTATGTTAGTTTTTTTTTATTATCGTTACAAGTGCATACTACTTAATTCTCTTCTTTAGTGGCTGCTTACGTTATATATAGCGTGGCGACGCGTTACCACGCCAACAACCGGTCTTCCATTACACCATGCGCAATAGATTTTTCACATCAAAAGTATTAAACTAGATTCAGCATAATTTTTGATCGTGATGCATCATTACAGGGAGATGAGCTTAGCAACCGCATATCCTGGTATTTCAAACGTCAAGGCTTTAAACCTGGTGAAGTGATAGCCTTATTCATGGAGACGCAGCCGGAATACGTCTTCATTTGGATAGGGCTGGCCAAGATCAGGGTCACCACAGCACTGATCAATACCAATTTAAAGGGAGCGCAGTTGATACATTGTTTGAGGATTGCGGGGTGTAAAGCTGTTGTTTTTGGGGATGAAATGAGTGCGGGTAAGCTTTTTGATGTTTAAGTATTATTTCCTAGTATTTTGTTTACTTTGGTTAAAGATAATTGGATAAGATAATCTACTAAAATATTTATATAAAACAAGTTTTGCCCGCGGCTCCGCCCGCTTGTATTTCGGTTATCGAGAAAAAAAATAGCCTACGCTACTCGCTGATAATGTAGCTTGCCATTGATAAATAATTTGTAAAATAAATTCAGTAATTTAGGCGTGAAAGCGTAACAAACTAACAAACAATCTTACTTTTACATTTATATAAGTATGGATAACAGCAGGTCTAACTAGCGTGCAATAGGACAAGCTACTGTTTAGCCGTGGTGGATAGGCTGATGATGATGATAAAGAGCAGAAATGTGTCTGTGAAAGTAATTTTTTTTTTCAATTAATCGATATCCGAAACACAATGTTAATAAATTCATACATGGTTGTGCTTATATGGTAGAAATAAAGCTTTAGTTAGGCAGCCCCATATTGAAAGCTGAATTACAGCAATGAATATAAATAAAGTTTTTATTTCAAAGATTTTGATAGATTCGAGGCAGTTTTCATTAGACCTGTAAAATATATACAAAATAAACGTAAAATTAAATAAATTGCATGGTTTTTTTTTAAATCCAGCTATCAAAGAAATTCAACCAGAGATTCCTGACATGCCTTTCTTTCAATTCAACTCTCCTGATCGTGAAAATGCCCCAGTCTTACATGACACAGCACCTTTGGCAGCCGAACTGAAAGAAATGTCTTCAGAACCTGTAGTGGATGCCGGGCAGTCCAAGCCTAGAGATACTGTATTGTACATATATACTAGTGGGACAACAGGATTTCCTAAAGCTGCTGTTATTACTAATATTAGGTGAGTTATTTATGTAATCACTTGAACCTTTCGTTGAACCTTAAATTAAAGATTTGACTGTGGTAGTGTGTTGTTGTGGTCCGTGTGGAGACGGATTAAGAATACAGAGTGTCACCACCCCTATTCATCTCGTGGGTGTCGTAGGAAGGAACTAAGGCAGCAAACTACGCAGGACAACAGCACTGCAGAGAGAGGGCAAACTTGACACAAACCCTATACCAACCCGTCTGGCCAGCGTGGTATAGTAGGCCAAAAACCTCCTTTCTAAGGAGAGGTCTATATCCAGCAATGGACTATTAAAAGCTGTTGATGATGATGAATGTGTGTTGTTGTGTTCTTGTGTGCACACGCACACGCAAGCTCTCACTGCCTGAGTGCGTATAATGATAAATGTGGAAGCAACTGGTGTATGCAAGGTGTAGCAATGGCATTAATTGACTTTGATGATGATTAAACATCATTTTCATAATTTTCACACTGGACTCTTTATTGCTAAATTTATTTTATTGAACCGTAATCAATCTACAAATCCAGAACTTCCAATATCCTATAATAAGTACAGAAGAGAAACTTGTCATTAAATTTCCAGGTTCATGCTGATTCCATTAGGAGTTCAGAGATCTGCGGGACTCACTTCTAAGGATGTAATATACGACCCGTTACCACTTCATCACACGGCGGGTGGTGTACTAGGAGCAGGTCTCACAGTCATATCAGGATGTACTGTCGTATTGAGGAAGAAATTTTCAGCAAGTAATTATTGGTCAGATGCAGCCAAATATGGATGCACCGTAAGTTTTTAAGCAAACCTTAGTAATGGTTTCATTCCTTATCCAAAATCATCGCATCATAATGACTTAGGTGCAAAGAAAAAATGCACATCTGATCATTGTCACTTGAGGTCAGCACGATGATTGTGGGGACAGTAGAGGTACTGTGATTTCTTCGACATAAAGCGTTATTTACTTAAAGATCTGTTTTAAAGCACGTGTTATTATTGTGAATAAACCAGTCTATACAGACGTACCTTATAAATTAATGTCTGCTATAAAAGCGCAAATGAGTTCGCAGTAGTGGTTCGGTTGCGTCGCCTGGTCGGTAACTTTAAATATATCCGTTTGATTAGCTTGTGGGCGGTGGTCCGTGATAAACTGTATAAATACAACCTCGTATATTCTACTAAATATAACCGAAAAATCGCAACTATAGTAATCAAATTAGTTTTGGATCTTAGGAATGGGACAGATTGACAGACACTGTTGGAATTGCCTTGGTGTGTTGCGAGGCTGTACATTTTCGTGTGTAAATAATTTCACACACTCATAGTCACACGCTATGGGAAGCTATTATCATAAACGACTTATCTAATTTTCGTTATCATTGCCGAGATACATCGAGAACTTACGGAATTAGTTGTACATTGTTGTGTTGTGTTATTGATTGTAAAAGAGAATAGCATTTCCCAAACATATCAGCATGCAATATAGCATTCTTTTTAAATTCTTTTAAAAACACAAACGAGGAGGTTATCAATTCGTCTGTATATTTTTTTGGCAGTGTTGTGTCTACATTACGTGTAGGAATTATATTAACTATTCAGAGGTTATCTATTAAGAGATAAAATAGGAATTGACCACGCCGAAAATAACCTGATCAAATTGTTGATATTCTGAAGAAAAGGCACGCCAAAGGTATCCGAAATCTATAATAAGATCTTGTGTGAAAGATTTTATTACAGTTGAAGTACATGACTTAAGTAAAGGTAAACTGTCTAAACTGGTAGCTGGCCGTTATCTTTGCCCACACATATCCCTTTGTGTCAAATCAAACCCAATAGATGAAATTATTCCTAAACTGATTTGGAGTCTAATTAGAGACTTGTTAATACCGTTATGATAGTTGACATGTTAGATGATACTTGTTAATACTAAAATTGAAAGTATTATAAGACAGCTGCTTATCTTCTTTCCCAGGCAGCACAATATATTGGCGAAATATGCCGATATCTGTTGGCAGTTCCCCCAGGACCAAATGACCGTGCTCACAAAGTGAACGTGATATTCGGCAATGGCCTTCGCCCACAAATATGGCCTGAGTTTGTAGAACGGTTCGGTGTCAAAAGAGTCATGGAATTCTATGGAGCGACTGAAGGGAATAGTAATCTTGGTAAGTTTTTTTATGGAAGGGGGGGGGGAGGAAAAGTCACCTGATGGAAAGCGACTACCGCCTGCAACTCAGGAGTCATAAGCACGTTGCCGGCCTTTGAGGAAAGAGTACGCTCTTTTCTTGAATATCGTATCGGTCCGGAAATACCACTGTTTCGAGTTCCACATACGGTGAAACGAAAAAACATACTGCAGCACCATCTAATGAAGACACACCGAACTACAGAGTAACTGCTAATTCTGTATCACGATATTAACAATACTCTCGCCGATTAGCATATTTACAACTTCCTAACATGAAACTGTAGGTGCCGCGGCCCGCCAGGCATGATCATCTCATTTGGTCGGACATCTTCCCTTTGTGTTGGAAGGACATGACACCCATTCCCTCACACCACATACGAAAACTTGTAACACTTGATAAGTTTAATCGTTTAGAAACTTGCTCTTTTCTATGCGGCTGTTCTCTTTTCTTTTCTATGAACACTGGTTGGTTATGAGGCCGTGGCTCTCAGAAAACCTGTGTTAAGCAATTTTTTTAACTATTACATTGTGAGTGAGTGATTTGCCTGTAGCCCCCTAGAATTTCGAAAGACGCCACGTTAAGGGCTTTGACAGTCTCTCATCATCTTGTGACCCGTATGCTCGTTTGCCGCCATAGTTAAAAAAAAACTGTTGTGTCTGTGTTGTAACTATGTTGTACTGAATTTACATTTCACCTATTGCACGATACATCTAAACTAAATATATATTTATATATTTTTTTACAGTTAATTTAGACTCTAAAGTTGGAGCCATTGGATTTTTGAGCAGAATATTCTCCACTATCTACCCGCTCACCTTAGTAAAGTAAGTACTTTTAATTTTGCCTTGTTCTTTTCTTCCTATGTTTTATTATTTCCTGATATTCCGTAGGGCCTGGTTATCCATGTGCTTGTTAGAAGTCAAACCGAGATTTGACTTAACTGGCCTGTTGGTTTTGTAGTCAGTGATCCTGACTTCTAAGTCAGTGGTCGTGGGTTCCATTCCCAACAAGGTTAAATAATTGTGTGATGTCTGGGCGTAATTTATGTAAAGCATGTATATATTTAGAAATATTTATGGGTCCACTTAGTAAGTATAAAAAGAAAATGTCAGCATTTGATATCAGACGGCCGTGTGTGAGATGTTTCAAGTTATTTTTACTTTAACTGTGTAGATTTTGTAACAAATACTTTTCTTTACATTTTCAGATGTGATGAAATAACTGGTGAAATTTTGAGAGATAGTAATGGCAAGTGTATTACGTGTGGTCCTCACGAACCAGGTAAAGATATCATTGTAATATGCTAAATGGTAGAATTGACCAATTGGATATTTTGGACAAGTTTTTTTTCATTTCAAGGAAGCAATACTGAAATCGTTTGCTACTTACTTTATTTAAATTAATTACTACATTTTTGGTTATTCCTTGTCTTGATCTTGCTACTGTTTAAAAATGTGTCTATCTAATGATGTATACTGGGCATGTCTTTAATTGGTCAACTTATAACATAAACCACTAAACATATACACTATATAACATAAACACAATACACGCCTAAACCACTAAACAAATTTTAAAAATTCTTCCACCAGTGGTAAGCTTCATTATCAGCTAGTAGTATATCCTACTTTTTAACATAGTGTTTTACATAGTGTATCTATTGATAGATTAAACTGGCTGAAATTGTAATTATAAGAATGTCTACATTTACGAATTACATTATATTGGCTTACTGTCTGTATTTTTATAATATTTTAAATGCGGTGTTTACCTTTAAGTAATTGTAACATTAAGTTTTGTATTTTCGCATGCAACTAGAATAAGTTTAAATGTTAACAATTGTTGGTAGACCTCAACTAATAAATTAATAAATAAATAAACATTCCGTGTCGGAAATAATCTTAAAAATACTGATCTGACAGTAATATCAATTCTATTTAATAATTTTGTTTCTTAATTTCAATTTCAGGTCTCTTACTAGGTAAAATAGACAAAAAGAAAGCGATCTTGACCTTTTCGGGGTACGCTGATAAGACAGCTTCGGAAAAGAAGATGGTCCGCAATGTGAGATCTGAAGGTGACTGTTACTTCAATACTGGGGACGTACTCGTCATGGACCACTACGGGTATTTTTACTTCAAAGACCGCACTGGAGATACGTTTAGGTATGGTCCTTGCTATTTATTGTATCCTGGTACTGCTTATACGTCTATGTATTTGCCATTAGGTGACTGATATTCATTTTGATCACTGAATAAATGAATCCTTTCTCTCTTCTTGTTTCTTTCCTTCTCTCTCTTTTCTTCTATCTCTCTACTTTTATTTTTAACAAGATAATGTACTTGAATTTGAACAGAGCAGAAGAATTTTGTGGGTTGCTTAAGAACATACAACACCTATAGATATACTTTAGAGAATGATACCTGTCCTTGTCTGGAATGCTCTTCCCCAGGCAATCAAACTGGCACCCAGTCGTAATTCGTTCAAAGTGAAGGTATGAGCTCTCCTTACTAGGGTAAGGACCTTACCTTAAGGTTTAATGGAGCAGAATCAAAACAATAATTCATCATCATCATCATCATCATCAGCCTATCGCAGTCCACTGCTGGACATAGGCCTCTCCCATTGCACGCCACTTAGATCGATTTTGGGCTTCTCGCATCCAGCTCCTGCCAGCCATCTTGCGCAAATCGTCACTCCACCTGGCCTGTGGGCGTCCTACACTACGTTTGCCGAGACGCGGTCTCCACTCAAGAACTCGTTTTCCCCAACGGTTATCGGTTCTGCGGCTAATATGGCCAGCCCACTGCCACTTCAACTTGCTGATCCGGTACGCTATGTCGGTGACCTTAGTTCTCTGCCGGATCACCTCATTTCTGATGCGATCCCTTAGAGAAACGCCGAGCATAGCCCTTTCCATAGCACGTTGAGCGACTTTGAACTTGTGGACCAGCCGTACCGTAAGTGTCCACGTTTCAGCTCCGTATGTCATGACGGGTAGGACGCACTCATTAAAGACTTTCGTCTTAAGGCACTGTGGGATCGACGATGAGAAGACTCGACGTAGCTTCCCAAACGCTGCCCAACCCAACCGAATTCTTCTGTTCACCTCGTCCTCGAAGTTGTTTCTACCTAACTGCAATGTCTGCCCGAGGTACACATAATTTTGAACAACTTCGAGAACGGCACCGTGTACCGCAATCGGTTCCGGTAGTACATGTTCGTTGAACATGACCTTGGTTTTATCCAAGTTCATCCGTAGGCCGATGCGTACAGAAGTGTCAGCTAAGTCATTCAGCATTTGCTGTAGGTCCTGCAACGTCTCTGCCATGATGACGATGTCATCTGCAAATCGCAAGTGAGAGATGTATTCGCCATTGATATTGATGCCACGCCCTTTCCAGTGCAGCGTCTTGAACATGTCCTCCATTGCATTTGTGAACAATTTCGGGGAAATAACGTCCCCTTGTCTCACTCCTCGATGCAATGGTACGGGCCTTGTTTGCTGATTCTGTACTTGGACGGACATGGTGGCGGCTTCGTAGAGACATCTCATCACTTTGATGTATCGCCAATCTACTTGGCAACGCTGCAGGGACTCCAGAACAGACCAGATCTCGATCGAGTCAAAGGCTTTCCTCATAGTCCACGAATGCTAGACACAGGGGCTGATTATATTCTTCGGTCTTCTGTATAATCTGCCGCACTGTGTGGATGTGGTCTATGGTGCCATATCCGCTCCGAAACCCAGCTTGCTCCGGTGGTTGGAATTCGTCGAGTCTTCGCGCAAGACGGTTCGTGATGACTCTCGAAAATAGCTTGTAGACGTGGCTTAGAAGGGATATGGGTCGATAGTTCTTCAACCTGGTCTTGTCACCCTTTTTGAAGAACAAAACGACCACACTCCTACTCCACGCTTCTGGAGTTCTCCCTTCAAACAAGACAGCGTTGAAGAGCTTTTGGAGCTCCCTTAGTACGGGTTTACCCCCGGCCTTCAGCAGCTCTGTTGTAACGCCATCCTCTCCAGGGGCTTTTCCATTTTTCAGCTGTCCAAGAGCCATCTCGATTTCGTCAATGCTAACTTCTGGCAGGTCTTCGGTGTAGTGACGTGTTAATGTGGCTCTAGAGTCCTCATTTTCGGGATCAGGTCGAGATGCATGCGAAGCGTATAACCGGCCATAGAAGCTTTCCACTTCCAAAAGGACTGCCGGCTTCGAAGCAACGACTTCTCCACTTTCTGTAGTCAACTTTGTCAGGTGGCTTCTTCCAAGAGATTGTACGAACACTTTTGACCCCCGATTTTGCTCGATCGCTCTTTCAATTGAAAGAGTATTGGAGCACCGGAGGTCGTGTCGTACGAGTTTACTGATCTCTCGGTTTAGAGTCCGCTTTGCCGACAAAGTGACAGGTGGGTTTTCACGTCGTTTCTTCATCAGCCCTAGGGTCCTTTCTGAAAGCTTCGACTTCCTGCCCTTACGCTGCATTTCACAAAATCTCATACCTTCTTCCCTGAGGATCTGAACCACATTTTTGAGGTTCTGGTTTACGTCGATTGTGGTTTCCACGGCAGCGAATCGGTTTTCCAGTTTTGACTGGAACGTTTCAGATCCTGTCATGGCTTGGAGCCGAGTTGGTCGGAGCCTGGATTTCATCAAACAGACACGTTCCGCCTTAACGTTGATATTCAGAGAGCCCCGGACAAGTCGGTGATCACTACCGGTATTAAACCTATTGATCACTGAGACGTCTCTGAATATGTGCTTTCTATCCGTCATGATGAAATCGATCTCATTTCTGGTCATAGCGTCGGGGCTTTGCCACGTCCACTTCCTTTGGGGCTGTTTCTTGAAGAAAGAATTCATCAAAAACAGCCCCTCCCGTTCGAGGAAGTTGACCAGCATTTGCCCCCTATGATTCCTGCTTCCAAATCCATGGGATCCTACTACCGATTCGCCGCAATTCTGTACTCCCACTTTAGCGTTGAAGTCACCCATAACAACGTTGTAGTGGGTCTTAGTTGTGAAGTGGAGGGCCCTCGATATGTCATCGTACATATCCTCCACCTCGTCGTCCGAATGTGCCGAGGTCGGTGCGTATACTTGCACAACCTTGAGGCTATACCTCTCGGTGAGCTTGATAATGAGGTACGCTACCCTGTTCGACACACTGGAAATTTCCACAACGTTGTCAGATAGGGACTTATTTACCAGAAACCCAACCCCACCTTGGGATTGTTGGTCTCCCTCGCGGAAGTACATTAGGTGGCCTGACTCGAGGGTTATGGTGTCCTCCCCCTCTCTTCGGACTTCACATAGCCCTAGGATATGCCACCTAATCTTCCCAAGTTCCACCTCAAGTTGCGCCAGATGCGAGTCTAGCCGTAGCGTGCGTCCGTTGTACGTAGCCAGGGTCAGTCGGTTGTGGTGGCCTCCCGTAGCCCGGAGATTCTTCGCACCCCCTGCCCTGCCTTTACCGTGGTCGCCACCATGACCAGGAATAGCGGGGCCGCCGGGAACTGGGGGCCGTGGCCTTTGTTGCGTCTGCATGGGAGGGGTTTGCCCATAATCGCCACGCTGGGCAGGCGGGTTGGCGATCGCAGGGCGTAGCTTGTCGCACCGGTAACGCTGCTGCCCGTCACCGGCCTGTTGTATTTAGCTACGCCTATTGGGATGGATATACCGCCATCGGTCGGTCGCCAGAGCCTCATTCGTCGTTCAGCAGGATGCACCGCGGGCAGGTGAGGTTGGCTTGGGGCGAAAGATGGTGGTTCGCCCCTCACATAAACAATAATTAATAATTATATATTATAGGATATATATGTATTTTTTTGTATGTGTACGTACATATATTTTTATTTCATTGACCCATTTCTTCTCTTCCCTTTCTGGATGATACAGTATTTCTTAATGTTTAGTTCTTTTTTGTGTAATATTAAATTCTCAACTAAAGTGTAGTGCACCTTTTCATTTATTTCCACACTATCCTTCCGTAGACTAGTAGAGAATGCCTATGGCATTAAGTCCGCCATTGTACACTTTTTGCATAAAGTTTTTAAATAAATATCCATTGGTAGCGGCAGTAACTAACCATCACTTACCAGCCGTCTGCTCGCTTGCCCACAGTACAGTAAAAAAATAATCTAATCGTTCGTTTTGTATCACTTGTAGGTGGCGAGGCGAGAACGTGTCTACCGCGGAAGTGGAAGGCGTGATAAGCACGCTTATTGGCCTCAAAGATGCTGTTGTGTACGGAGTTAAGGTAAGTGCCTTAAATTTCATACGAAAGAAGGACATATCGGCAGACGTACGACGATCTGGTGAAAGTCGTGGGTAGCGCAGGACCAGTTGCTGTGGCGAACCCTGGGGTAGGCCGATGTCTACTGCTAGACATGTGTTTCATGTGTTTCGGCTGAGATAATGATGACGGGGTACCTTTATTGAGTAAAAGAATAGAAGATAATTCTAAGTTGGGGATAAAAATTAGGAAACTATGACCGTCTTCAATGAGCCCACGTCGTGATGAACTCAATCAACTGTATTCTTCATTCTTTCACATCATCACATCAATGGCTTTTAACAGTCCACTGCTGGACGTAGACCTCTCCTTAGAAAGTAGGTTTTAGCCGACTATATCACGCTGGCCAGACGGGTTAGTAAAGGGTTTGAGTCAAGTTTTCCTCCTCTTTGCAGTGCTGGTGTCCAGTATAGTTTGCTCCCTTAGTCGGGTGCTACGACACCCACGGGATGAATAGGGGTGGCGAAGTTCATTTTTACAATTAAATTCTTTAACTTTCGTTTCTTGATTCGTATTTCGTAATTCTTTAATTAAGAATTTTTTTTTCTTCACGAGACGATACCAAACGGTTCTTCTTTTTTATTTTACAGATACCAAACGTAGAAGGAAAAGCAGGCATGGCTGCTATTGCCGATCCTGACAAAACTGTCGACCTAGTTGCTTTGGCCAAGGGTCTCAGATCGTCGCTCCCAATTTTCGCCAGACCGCTTTTTATCAGAATAATGCCAGAATCACCTCTAACTGCCACGTTTAAGCTCAAGAAGAGAGAACTTATGGAACAAGGATTTGCAGTAAATATCCACAGTGACCCTCAGTATTTTTTGGATCAGAAAACTGGCGAATATGTGCCTCTAACACAAAAGTTATACGACGATATAATTCAGGGAGCAATTAGGCTCTGAGCTGTTAGAAATATTTTGCAGGTATACTCCATTGTGGATAAGAATTCCAATAGAAGGTTGGGAAAAAATATTTTTGGTTTCTGCCAAGTAAATTCTAATGCAGCTTAACTCATTTTAAATGTATATTATCGTCAGTAAAATTGAAAACACAATAAGATACAAAATTTAAACCAGGTCAAACAGGTATTAACCCTAACGGACTCCAGTTTCAGGTAAACTAAATAAACAATAACTCTTGACCCACCTTCTCAGAAGCTATACGAGTGTACCTAACTATGGCAGAATCAGGCTTCGGCACAGAAGGGTCAGGCTCCTCCAAAATGATACCGTGGTCAGCGAGTAAGTGCGGTAACCGATGGCCAAACTCATAGTCTCATGGGAGCACTTAAATAAGGTGACCCATTTGTCCGTTTGACCCAAAAATAACTTTAAGAGTGTGTTATAAATATGTTATTGTTTTTAGTTACGAAAATCAATGTTTTTAAATATACCTCATAAATTTTGGTACTATTTACTGAAATTATCAAATGCATTAAAGAACAATAAAATATCAATATGAATGTCAGTTATCGCGGTAAAAAGTAGCCTATATCATTCCTAAACAATTCAAATATCTCCATGCCAAATTTCATTCACATCCGTTTAGTGGTTTAGCTGTGAAAGCGTAACAGACAGACAGATAGAGTTATTTCCACATTTATAATATTAGTAGGAACTATGGGAATAAGACTTTGATTTCAATAATTTATTAATTCAACACCATTAATTCAATTTCGGGTAGACATAAATCTGAAAAACAATGTTTTACCCTGAAAATTCAATGTTAAACATTTGGCTATTTGTAATAATAATTTGTGATTTGTTATACTACGTATATGACTGTGTAAGATATATATATATATATTAAAATATCAAAATTTATAGATATTGTTGGTAGTTCACTATTAACTTAAAAGGTCTTTGCTGTGGGCCGTGGGTGAGTCATGCTTAGGCGCAAATACGACGGGTTGATCGGAGTAACTTGAACGCACTTGTGACGCATGAGTGACAGGTGTCAATGGGCGGCGGTAGTCACTTACCATCAGGTGACCCGTCTGCTCGTTTATCCCGTATACGTTAATAAAACCTTTTTTTTTCACTAGATTTTGCCCCCGGCTCCGTCGGCGTTAATATCGGTTATCACGGTAAAACCAGCCTATGTCTTTCCTCATGAATAAAAGTATCCCCATACCAAATTTTATCTTCGGTTCAGCGGTTATTGATTCCCCAAACAAAGTCCCATCCCCTTAAAGATGATTTCTGGGATAAAAACTACCCTATGTCCTTTCCCGGGACTCAGACTATCCGGGACGATCTCTGTACCAAATTTCACCTAAATCGGTTCAGCGGTTTAAGCTGGAAAAGGTAACAGACAGACAGACAGACACACTCGTATTTATAATATTAGTATGGATAATATTAGTATAGATTTGCTTGACTACTTGGATCACGCAAGGCCAAAACCCTGTAAAGTGTTGCCGTCGACGCGATAAGAAGAAGTAGAAAAGAAAAATACCTTTTATTAACTAGTTAATATTACCATTTTCCGGACAAAGCGTTTTCCTAACAAATAACAGAATATGTAATCAAATCTTTTGACTTTGATAATCTGAATTTTAACTTTATAATTATAAGAGTGTTTTTTGTATATCTAGGTATGTGTGATTATACAGTAATCTTAATATCTTAATCTAAGATAAAGTTTAATATTTATAGTTTTATGTAAATTTAAATTATTAATGGAAATAAAAGTATTTGTAATCTTGGTATGTTATTTATATTTTTGGTGACTACCTGAAGAAAGGACCAGGACAACAGTACTGCAAAGAGAAGCAAAAGTTGAAACAAATCCTTTACCAACCCGTCTTTTCCTCCAACCTCCAAAACCCCCTTTTTAAGAACAGGACTATGTCCAGCAATGGACTACAAAAGGTTGTTGATCATGAAGATGTGTCTCTTCCATTGTAAATGGTTGGTTACTTTTATGGCGGATCGCCTGTTTGGTGCCCACCCTTTTTTGAAATACTGTCGTTTTCAGGCGGGACAGATGAAGAAGCTGCCGGATAAGCTATTGGATTTAGAAATAGCTGAGACTACAGCAGGCCGATAATAATAATAGTTTCGGACATCTGATACACAACACATCTAGTTTCAAACTAAGCTAGATTGACTGATTATTTACTTTATATGGGTTTATTAATATTTTGGACATCTGACACACGACGCCATCTAGCTTCAAACTAAGCAAAGCTTGTACTATGAAAGCTAGATTGACTGATAGAATACTTATATACTTATTTTAGTAAATACTTAAATTTTATACTTCGAAAATACTCAAACTATGAAACAAATATTTGCAGATCATACAAAAATTTGTTCCGGTACAACAATTATACCCGGGCATCGAACATGAGACCCCAGCTCACCCCTGCACTGATCAGTCGATGACGAGGTGTTAATCATAATCATAACATAATCGTATGTCAGTCCTCAACTTTAGTAAACTCCATTAGAGTTTAGAGAGAGAGGCATTATCCGGCCAAAAATGTGTAAAAATAACAATTAATAAAATAATTAAACACATTTAAAGCCATTTATTTAATCATTCATACAAAAATGTTTTACATACAACAATATTTATGTCCACAAATACGGCCTTTCATTTAAAATTTGGCTAATTAACAAATACTATCTATTTTTAATACCTATCTTAATACACCACTATGTACCTTTGTAAACACTTTGTGATTATTTTATTTTATCTTAAATTTTATATCGTATGTATCGAAATGAGGGAATCTTTAATGTCCGTGTGGTGACGGATTAAGACCCCACCCCGGATCACCACCCCTATTCATCCCATTGGTGTCGTAAGAGCCGACTAAGGGAGCAAACTACGCAGGACAATAGCACTGCAAAGAGAAGAAAAACTTGAATCAAACCCTATATCAACCCGTCTAGCCAGCGTAGTATAGTAGGCCAGTATAGAGAGGCTTATGTCCAGCAGTGGACTGTTGTAGGCTGTGATGATGATGATGATGATTCAATGTGGGGAGAGCCATGTTTTGGCAGTGTGGGTCAGCTTAATCGGGGTGATACCACGGCCTTTTTACGAGACTAATCCGGGAGGGACACGCCCACAAATGTAACTCCTGTACACCAAGATCAACAGTTATACCACTCAGGAATTCCCATGAAAAAAAAACAGTTTAGAACCCGCAACGAAATTAATCAGAGGGAGACGAAATGAGGTAAAATAGGCATACACCCTTTTTAAATAGTGAAGCCACAAAATATTATGGGTCCTAAGTGAACTAAATTTGATTTCTATAATTAGTGTGGCAGAATCGCCTAAACGCGCGGAAATACACCCTAGTTGACACAAAAAAATATATATATACCTTTCTATCCCTTGATGTTTCGACCAGGTTGTACGGGTCTTGGTCACAAAGTAACCTGTATCCATACAATTTCTCTGATCAACGTCATCAGTAACTGATTACATTTTCAGTTCTCAGTATTAGTTTGTGTGTTTTGATCTACAATATTTAAAAAAACTTGCATATATTCACATATCTGTGTGGTGACAATAGCAAAGAGAAGGAAAACTTGAAACAGACCCTATACCAACTCGTGTGGCCAGCGTGGTATAGAAGGCCAAAACCTCCTTTCTAAGGAGAGGCCTATGGCTAGCAGTAGACTGCTAAAGGCTGTTGATGTGATGCTGATTTACATATGTTTTTCTATAATATTTAATTAAAGAAGATAATTATGGCATTAAATTCGCCCTCGTGCAGCATTTGCCATAAGTTTTAAATTAATAATTAGGATTAAGTTAAAATTATAAAAAAAACCTTTTCAAATTTCACTAATTTCTCGTAGAACTTTAGGTTATGGGACCTAGTTTTAAACCCTATCTTTTATAAAACTTAATTTTGCATATTGCAATCTTCTCGTGCTTATTAATACTTGACAATGTTAAATGATGTTTAAAATTACAATGGTTCTTGCGGTTTTAGTCATGTCTGTACTTAAAATTATGTTCTTAGTCCAAATATATTAAATGATCACCAAATTTATACTAATATTATAAAGGTGAAGAGTTTGTTTGCTTGAATGCGCTAATCTCAGGAACTACTGGTCCGATTTGAAAAAAAATCAGTGTTAGATAGCCCATTTATCGAGGAAGACTATAGGTTATATATCATCACGCTAAGACCAATAGAAGTATCAATGAAAAATTTTGCAAAAACGGGTAAAATTTATTCCTTGTCAAAGACGCAGAGGGAGTTGCGCGGGTCAGCTAGTCTCAGTATATAGTATCTCACTACTACTTTTTTAGTTTATTTTTACAATTTCAGAACAAGAATATTTTAATTTTATGTTTATTTTTTAACCATTATATAGACAGTTGCTTAAATATCACAATGTCACTACTTCCGCAATTTCCTATGCCCCACGCCGACATGGACAGCCTAGGTTAGGTTAGAATTATACCTTCGTGGTCATTTTTTAAACCACCCAGAAAGTAGAAGCCCCGCAAGGCGACACTCCAGCACCTTTCTTCTATTTCGACATATAGCCTCAAAAATGTATGTATGTTATGTAACTTATGTACACAGTTTTTTTTAAGTTAAAAAAGTCCAGGAAAAGTCCTACCAGAAGGAAGTTGCATTCTGAAAGCTACATTCTAAACCAATTTATTATTTTAGGGTTAACTATGATGAGTTTGCGAGTCATTTATTTATTTATTTTATTTATATCTTTATTGTTTACAGTTAACAGATAAGATACTTACAAATATATAGACGTAACAATCGGCGGTCTTATCGCTCACGGCGATCTCTTACAGACAACCTTAATACGGATATTAAACATTTAAAAAATTGGGAAGTTTACATACACGTAACGCATTATCACGTGAATATTTAAAAACTGTTACTTTACTTTAATAGGACAGCAAAATGTATATTTTTATTGATGATCATGTACTATTTTTGGTAGCATAAAGTGTTTATAGTGTTGTGTGTAAGGTAAACATAATATTTTTTTATTATTGACACTTCTTATAATAGAATTGAAAACAATTATTTCATAATATTTACTAAAATAAACTCCACTCTTATAACTATACAGATATAGATTACTTTACAAGAATAATATTATTTACGTTACCTTATTCACTATCTAAATACACATTAGAACACATATTTAGTAAATGATAGCTGGTGCACATTGTTTGCTACCAAACTGTTGTCAAAAATTACGCGTTTCTACAAAACTGCTGTAAAAAGTTGCTTATTTGCTACAAAACATTTGTCAAAAATTGCTAAAAGTCGCTCTTTTAAAACCAAACTGCAGTCGAAAGTTATTTAGTTACTACCAAATCGCTGTCAAAAGTAACTCTACTATCAAACTTTCGTCAAAAATTGCTGATTGCTACCAAATCACTGTCGGTCATTTACTACCAAGCCTATGTCAAAAGTTAATCATTTGTTTTCAAACCGGAGTCAGACCATTACCACGCTCATTTGATACCAAATAGTTTTTAAAGAAGTTTTGACAGAAGTAAAACATGTGGTGAAAAATTGAGCAATATAAATTCCTATAACACCTGTGCATGGATTTCTAGCACACAAGAGGTTTAAAATGATTACAAGTACATACCAACATCAATTTCAGCAAACTTAACCGTGACTTATTAAGAAAGATATCGTTTTTTATAATAATGTATTTTTAAATAAATTATCGAAGTATTTCAAATGTAATATCCATACCTAAGCTGATTAAATAGGTTAGGTACTTATTATTTATTAATCACTGAAATTATGAGTATTTAATTATAAACCAATATTAGGACCTCAAATTATGTAACAGAAGTTTTTTAAAGTGACACACAATATTATTTTCTTAGCACTAAATAGAGAATAAATTAAGTATTCTTCTGTAAAAATTGAGAACAAAAGAACAGATTCTCGAATACTCAAGTAAAAAGAAGTAAAAGTATTTTACGTTACTGAAAGACATTAATAATCTTATGGAGAAGAATGAAATCTGTGGAAACTGCCTTGGAAAGAACCTTTTAGATCATCAACACTTCACGATATGTCATTTCAATCAACGCTACCTTCCTTAAACAACATTGAGCCACGCCTTTGGCAAATTACTAACTCTATAATAAAAACGCAATATAAACTAACAACACCCTATACCAAAATATACCATAAAAATATTTGAGAACCGCTGTCATCGTTCATTCTTTCTTCTTCTAGCAATGACCAGAAGAGGTCCATCTAAATCTTCATTGATTTGTTCTTGTGACTTTCCCCTTGTTTCAGGTATGACGAGGAATATGTACAAGGAGCCTAGTAGTGTGATGGAGGCACATATATAGTAGATACCGTGGAGACCAACTAAGACCGCCAGGCTCCCGTAGTAGCGGAGTATTAAAAAGCTACTGAGCCACATCCAGGAGATGAGAAGGCTTGATGCCAGGGTTCTCACCTGTGGACATAAAAATATCATTTAAGTCGTAGATACAGAATGTCCCAAAAAAATACACAAAAAATTTCAAGTACCCAAAAGACGTGTTTTTTTTAATTTACGATTTTTTTGACATTTACTTGGCCGTTTCGCTATCGTCACATGCGTGTAAGGTGAAAAATTTCTTAGATCTTCATTACTTTTCTGTTATACAATCGTTCTTGAAGTAACGAAACGGCCAAAGCACATATATTGACTAATATGTAGAGTTTGTGAAGTTAGGGTTTGTGCAGTTAGAACTTTGGCGTTACATGAGATCTGATAACTTTTTGACAGTGCGAGTCATGTGATCTCGCCTTAGCAACATTTTACATGAAAATATTTTTGGAGGGATGGTATTTGGTACAAATATGTTGAAAAGTAATAAAAATTTACGTGACCAGAGAGCTTAGTGTAAGTTTATTTCACATCAAATCGTTCGTCACGGTGAACTGCGTTCAGCGAAGAAGTTCGGATTGGTGAAGAGTTAAGTGCGCGCCAACGCCGAATGCGGTCACCGTTACGATCGAAACTCCTACTAGGCCCTCAGCACTGAGATCTTTTTTACAAGTTAAAATAATTTTATTGGGGAAACTATGGTAATGGATAAATAATTGAAGAGGTTTTACAAATCCATCACCACATATTTTACATTGTTTATGTGTAACATCTTTCGTACGATCTATGGGAGTGATTTCATGAAAAGGGACGGAAATGTGTAACAGAAAACGTAGTGTGCGCTATTTAATTTGACCGATAGGCGCACCTGGTGTCAGATAGTACTCGTAAAAGGATTTTCAGATGTACGTGTAAGATTCGCTTGTTTTTTTTATGTACTGAGTTGTTGCTCACTGAATATGAAGTGTCAAAATCCCTACTCATCCCGTGGGTGTCGTAAGCGCCGACTAAGGAAGGAAACTACGCGGGACAACCGCACTGCAAAGAGAAGGAAAACTTGACACAAACCCTAAACCAACCCATCTGGCAGGTGTGGTATAGTAGGCGAAACCCTCTTTTCTAAGAAGAGGCCTATGTCCAGCAGTGAACTACTAAAGGCTGTGGATGTTATCTGATGATAATGATTTGTTGTATTATTTATTATTGTCAAAGAATAAAATACTTACATTGACACTAAACCATTCTGAAATAAGTACATAAGGCACTGATCCTAAGCCGATGTTGTATAAAAATAGTACGATCGACATCAAAGCCACAGGACCCCATAGACTCTCCTCCTTCACACTTGGAGTCTTGTTCATTATATTGTGTTCTCTCCATCCGGAATAACTCTCATTTTCCAACTTAACACTACTGTAGTTTTTCCATTCTGGAATTTCCGATACTTTCCATTCTGGAAACGTTATGGTAGTGAGGTTTTCAGGCAACTGGATGTCTTTTTCTTTGACGTTCTGAGTTCGTCGGTAAGGCCACATTCGGTGGGAGTACCAGGTCTGCGAGTGGAGACTAGGATCGCAGTAGATGCCAAGAATAGCGAGGCAGCATGTAATACCAGAGCAAGACCAAAGAAGCAATTTCTGTAAATATTAATATCTTGTAAGTTACATTTAGCCTAATAAAGCTGTACCTGAAAATGTCAAAGATTCTAGAAAGACTTGGAATGAAAAAGATATTTCAAGGCACTAAAAAAAATTCGTCGGTGCATATGTTAGCGGTTGATGTAAATGTACACTGCTTATCCCAAATGTTACAAAAAAATAGAACGAATTAAGGGCTTGTGATACACATCTGCCTACTCCTTCTGGCCCCACTGGCCAGGAGGAGTAGGCAGATGTGTCTAGTGGTTATTTATTTATTTATACTTTATGTACAAATGTGACAAGGGCGACTTACAGTCTACCTTAGAGCGATGCAGACCTAAATCTTGGTAGATGAACATAAATTAATAATGAGATTTTATGAAAAATATAGCATATCACGGATACCATATACCCAGAGTATATATATTAATTACCTCAGAATAATTTTTAATAAATAATACATAATAATATAAAAATATAATTAGTAATAATAATACTACTAACACACACAATACATGATTATATATACATATAATTATATGTGGGTACTTATTATGTGGGTATATATATACTCACATAATAAGTTCTAGAAGAGTTCTATTTGAGAGTTGGTTGAAACCCTGACTGGAAAGGACAGAGTAAATTGTTACGGGTAATTATTCTGCCTTATAAGCCAGGGTTCGTTTCCCGGATTACTTGACAAACAATTTCATTGTGAACATGATCAGTTATTCCCAGTCTGAGTGTAATAAATCTATTACTAGAAATAAGTATGTTTATCAGCAGTATGGTTACCATGGCTCTGCCACATACCTGCCGCAGACGTACAGTCCTAAATCTGAAATATTTCTAAGTTTTTACGTCAAGCTCAACTTATCGATTTCGTTAGAAATGATTAAGAAATAATTAATATTATTTAACGGGAATTAACGCGATCTCTTATTTAGGGTATTACATACCTCAGTCAGCCTGTGACCACGGCCGGTGCAACCTGGTCGAAACGTCAGGCAAACCAGAGGTATGTAATACCCTAAATAAGAGATCGCGTTAATTCCCGTTAAATAATATTAATTATCATGGAACGCGAAAGTTTAAAAGTGATTAAAAAATATATTTAATAGTTGTTTATTAACTATTAAGCGAGTTCACTTCATAAATTATTCATTACCTTTCTTCCTAGTTTGTCGACAGTGGCAGTCGCGACGGCCGCGCCAAGTACCAGTGCACTACCACACAGTATGGACCCTGCCTCCGATGGGTCGAACAACTGGCGAGGTGCAGATCTGGAAAACGACATTATTCTATCATGAATAAGCAATCATTCTCAACTTCAAGCAGCCTGTGGGCCAGATATACTCAGAAAGCGTACAACGCGTTACAGGTGTCCTGTTTCTGCAGTGCGTCAGGAAAGTTTGTCGAAGCCAGGGTGGATTGTTTTTATTCTACCGAAAGCCATATGCATTCTTGTTCTGCAGAGTGCGACCCAGCCCCGATCGAATTTTGGCTATGATATTTGGTTGGCTGGATTCTATCTATATGAACTCCTGTTCATAGAGTCAAAAAAAATATAGAATTAAGTAGCGCTATTAGTTTTTTTAAAACTCTATTTGAAATTTTTGTATCAATAACAATTTAACACATTATGATCACAAAAGTAATGTACGACTGTGGCTACATTTAACAATTTTGTAATTCCAGTTTTGATTTCTTAACCAGGACTACTCTAGTATCACATGGAGAACATCTCACCCATTATAAATAGTGAAGTTATAAGCTGTCATGTTCAGATGCGGCACGCTATGGGTGGAGTGCCTCAGAACCGCTGCCGCAAAGCTGTTGACAGCGCCAGCGCCGCTGCCCGCAGCTGCGCTAAGTACCACCACGCAAGAAACGAGTGCGCGACGAGAACGACGGTGGTGAACTAGAGGTGGAATTATAGATACTAAATATAGATGAGTTAGTTCATTTGTTTTTTATGCCATATCCATTATTTCAATTTCTTTTGTCAAAAAAAAAATAGGTGTATGAAAAATGTTGGCCGATTCTCAAACCTACCCGATATGCACACAAAATTTCACGAAAATCGATCGAGCAGCTTCGGAGGAGTTCAACCACGCACACCGTGACACGAGAATTATATATATTAGATATGACGAATTGAAAAGCAATAAATCTATAGATGGATTATAGAAGATAAAGAAAACGACTTGCTGTAACATAAATATATCAGTTGGCAGTACTTTTTTTGATGAACGCACTAAAACAGAATCATGCACAACATTTAAAACAGAAATATATTACTACTAGGTATTGTTAATTCTATACAATAATCAAATAGTTTATGTACCACGTAAAACTCCAGGTTTTTATATCTGTTTGGCACTAAGTAAATATCTGTACTCCTAGTAGGTACTAGGGTGCTCACTAAAGAATTATCATAAAGTACAGATCGTCCAAAATATTTATTTGGCATAAGCAATCTAATGAACAAAATATTTTCTTTATAACTTATGATGCCCTGGTACAAAAAATACTTACAAAGTTCCCTACAAGCTGACTGCTCATTCTTTTTATCAGAGTTGGATTCCAGCCCACTAATTCTTTTAAGCATTGGCTGGAAAGTGTCAGAGTCCTGTCTTCTCATCGGCTCTCGTCTCCCATAGCAGTCTGATGTTCGAATTTTCACTTCCTGTTGCTCAATAACATCTGTTAGATCCTCCTGGAAATCGGAGCCTTCAAACCAGCAGATAATTTTGGCCGCATCCTGTAAAAATGTTAATAACTGAGGGTCAGTGCCGAACCTATTACTTTATCATTATCATTATAGGCGGTTGAAGATCGGCACTGGCATATAAGAGAATTTCGATACGTATATTTTTAGTTTGCTGAATATTTGACAAAACAGAGACTTTAGAGTCTACAGAAGAGACGATTTCAAATAATTTTAAGATTTTATGAAATAAAGATATTTGAGTTTGAGTTTTAAGTATAAGCTAACAACATAACAGAAACTGGTAAACCTTAGGAAGTTACCCAAAGAATTACTTCGAGGTACTGGTGTACTATACCAAGGATTTACTCTTTTACCTGTATTCGTCCTACATTGATGAGGAAAGATGGCGTCTCCGGTAGCCAGATCAGTGACACCAGTAGAACCGATGGCGGTACTGCCATCGATAGTGACAGAGCATGCGCCGACAGCATGCCACCGGCGGCATACGCAAACAGGATACCACAACTGAAAAATATAGATAGTCTTGCGGTAGACTGCTTTGAATGACCTATTCGATAACTTAAACTGTTATTAACTTTTGTAAAACAGTATATTGAATTCGTTGAGCAGTGGACGGCAATAGGCTTATAATGATATTGAATCCTTAGAGTTTTATGTTTTTTATGGTATTGGGGGGAAACAAACATGGTTAGTGCCTATCACCGCCTACACCTGCAATTCAACAGTCACAAGTGCATTGCCACACTTTCAGACCCTCCCCCCAGAACCTGGAGGAAGAAGAGGGAGAGGGTCCTGATTGTTTTTAAAATGTTTTTGCTGCTTTTGAATTGTTCTTTTTTCTTGTTGAGATGTGCATGTGTGTTCTTACTGTGCATTTGTAAATTTTAGTTTTTAAGTTTAAAGTGGTTGTAGCGCTATAGTTAAACCGCCGTAAGCTTGGCCCTCCTGATGGTTTGGGGGACGCGGGGCGGGGGTGCATTCAACCAATTAGCTAGTGCGTCGCTGTCCGCCGGCAGTGACTGACGTGAAAGCATAGCTGTACGTGTTATTTTTCTTAAAACTGCTACACACGGTATTATTTTGCAACATGGATAATCTGCCGACTCTGCGTCACAAAAAGATTTAAAAACTTGAAGTTCGGCTTACAGAGGTTCTACTGTTAAAGTTCTAATAAAGAATATTTATTATTTTACTTAATTTTTAAATTGTATCTGAATATAATTTACATGATGAAGTTGAGGTGATTTTATTAAAATTATTTCACAGTATTAAATTTTACAATCAATCATAAAAACTTACAATACACTGACATTATAATACATAGAAATAAATTCGATTTTTATTACATCGTGTGTAGATTAAATCTCAAACAAATAAATCTGAAGATATCGACTTAGTACATCGTGTCATGTATAGCCGAGCGCATCACCCGCCCCGCGTCCCGCAAACCATCAGGAGGGCCACGCTTACGGCGGTTTAACTATAATGTATATTCATAATATGTGGAAACTGTTTTGGATTGTGTTTAGATTACCTGTATATTTATTTTGGTTTAATTTGTATCTGTTTGTTTCCCTAATAAAATAAAAATAAAATAAAAAATATTTTTTTTTTTACATAATTTTAACAGTATTGCATATTTTGTTAATATTAAGTATTCCCGAGGCTGGCAACGCAGTCGGGGTTTCGGCAGCGGTTGTCACTTTTCATCCCTGCTAGTTCACCGTCTATGTCATAAAAATGAATTTTCTTCACGTAATATTTAAATACAGCTCATAGATTACATAGACAAACCAAAGCGTCAAGAGATAAAGAATGTTTAAAATAAATCATTTAATACCAAAATAGCATAAAACGTAGTGTTACGAGTAGAGCGGGGTATTCAATACATAAAAGTAGTCGGTTAATTACTAAAATTGCATTGTATTTACAAACACTCACTATTATTATTACACTATTATGAACTTCTAAAAGAAACTTGTTAAATGTAATAACGTGAATAATCAGGAAGTAGTCTTTGATAGTGCCAAATTAATGATGAACGACTGGTGTAGTGGTTTAAGCAGTCACCTCGCTGCTTCCTACAGCGCTGAGTGTTGTGCTTTCGAGCCCCACATGCGATAACACTTTCTGTTATCCACAAATTGTTGTTCTGAGTCTGGGTGTTCTTTGTGTCCATTTTATGTATGTTTATAGTGCGGGAGTCGTCTTTTTGAAAAGGAAAAAGAATTTCCGCCATTTCGCAAAGAACATTAGTAGCTAATGAATGTTCTTAATATTGTATCAAATTATAAATATCGGAGTAGTTGCTTAACCTGCAAGCCAACGCAGGCATGGCTGCTAAACCCTTGGTCCTTGGCGCTATTTCTGCGCAATATAATGGTGCCAGAGCCAATGCTCCTGCACCTCCTGCACCAGCTGCTACCCTGGCTGCCCACACGCCACGTTGGCCACACCATGCTGCCAAAGACCAGCTTATCTGCGATAGTTAATTTAGGTGTAAAGATGTTAGGGTTACCTACTTAAAGAGTTTAAGTTCGTTCGTGTGGTGACGGACTAGGAATACGGAGTGCCAGCACCCCTATTTATCCGGTGGGTGTCGTAAGAGCTGACTTAAGGGAGAAAACTTCGCAGGACAACAGCACTGTAAAGAGAAGGCAAACCTGAAACAAACCCTATACCGACCCATCTGGCCAGCGTGATAAAGTAGGCCAAAACCTGCCCTGTCCAACAGTGGACTAGCTAGACTGGCTGTTGATGTGATGTGATGTAAAAGAGGACAAAAAAAATGTGGTGTGGTACCAGAATAGAATGTATGTTTCTTAAAAGCTAAGACATTTCTTAAAAGCTAAGTCTTTTAAGAATCCATTTCTATCAACATTTTTATGAATTTTTATATTTTTGACTTCATTTTTTGATGAATATATGCCGACTTACCATCAAGTTTACTCAGCTTTATTATTAACACTTTTATGAATTGTCCTTAATCGTGTTTTCTGGTAAAATATAGTAAAGGCATATAAAAAGGACAAATTTTTAGACCCTATATTTTGTGGCAATACTCACAATAAAACTTAAACAAATACAAAAAGCCCCCGCTTTTCTTCCTCTTGCGTCAGCGAGGACCGCGAAGAATGGAGCAGCTGGCAGTGCGACTAGACACGGCAAAGCAGCGAGCCATGCACCTCCTGTTAACGCCTCATTTCCTAGTACGCCTGATACCCAGCCTGTGCTGCATCCGTGCGTAAAGCAGGACAGGTTATCTATAAAAAGAGAATGTCGTAACTTTAATGTGCAGCTACTATTAAATTTTCTACAGAAATATAAACAATTAAGTAACTTATAGGAAAATATTAATAGAAAATGGAGTTTTACGAATAACAGTAGTAGCATATGATATATAATATCTAACACCAAATTCTCCCAATATTTACTTACTGACTACCGATATTTATACCGATGCCAATGGTCACTCGATGGCATCTCAATAGCGTGTCAGTGGTATGACAGTGGCTTGGCGTGAACATAAAATAGAAGAATTGCGGCCCTGAGATAGCAGGAAAGCGACAGGAAAGTTGTTGCTCATTAAAAATAAAAAAACAATAAATGTTTGTAATAATTACTATACTTATTTTTATTAATTTTATATGATCTGCAAATATTTATTTCGGAGTGTGGGTGTTTTCTATGTATATTATATGTAATATTTACAAAAAAAATATATAAGTCAATCTATCTATCATTCAATCTAGCTTTTATAGTACAAGCTCTGCTTAGTTTGGAACTTAATAACATTCGTAGAATTGAATTTAATATATCGTAGATTGGACAAACACATGGTAGCCGACATTTCTAATTAATAACGATCTTACACATCTCAAACACGGCTGTCAGATCCTACACTAGGCAGAACATGTGCTGTGGTAATCAGACTGCTGATAAACATACTTATATGCTTCTAAATACATACATATTACAGATAAATACACGCATCACAGAACAAATGATCGCGCTCATCACACGATTATTTAACCTGAGTGGGAATCAAACCCATAACCTCGATGATGGATTAGGTTCATATGTGAGCACGTTACACAGTAGTTTAAAATGGTTGAGAATTGTTTGGGAAATTTTTGAAAACAAGGAAACTATCCTCAGTGATTCCAGCAAAATATTAACAAAAGGAAATCTTAATTTTGCTACATTCGTAGTAGGTGTTTTGTAACGTAGTTTGGACGAACCCATGATAGCTCAGCAGACATTTATAATTCAAAGAAAACCTTCTAATGCAGTGAATTTCTAAACTAACGCTATTTATGTAAATACCAGACATAGTCGCGTCACCTTATCCGTGCCAGACTTGTCTGTTTCCATGTTTTAGCTGCGAATGTTTATACTATCAGATGTAGGTTACTGACATACCGACCTTTTAAAGTACCTGCCAAGCGCCACTTAATCCCTTCTCAAAGGCAGAACATAAATTGCGGAAAGTAATGTCATTTAGGTGAGAGAAAAGGCAAAAAAATGTAATTTTCAAGACGCTTTATTATGTGAAAGGTGTGACGTAAGTTCCTTCTTATTCTGGGAAGGATGGAAACAGGTACTTAAACAGGGTTTTCCTGTCAATCATAATGAACTTCAAAAAAAGTGTTCTCACGTTTTATCCTTTTTTTTATGGAATGATGGGCGGGGGGAATCAAGCAGGTGGGTCATCTGATGGTAAGTGACTACCGCTGCCCATGGACACCTACAACTTATGAGTTATAAGTATGCGAGTGTGTGTTTGAGTGACCCCCTACCCCACAGAAGCAGGAGCTTTGTTCTCCGGGGACCTCACATTCGGTGAAAAGCTTTGATCACAATATTACATATTACCCGGACTCCAAATTGAGGAACTGGAAGAAAGGCAGGATAATGGTTCTTATATTAGGTGTTTGGGATGCCGCGCCTTATACAGAGTTAACTGAACCGTTTGAGATCGTACGGCAGTAGTTAAGTATCATATTGATGGTTATTGGTCTAGTCGTCAATTGATAAAATATATATTTTCATTGACTGAATATATTTTCATTGATTACTTAATATATTGTGATGTAACCCCTGTGCATCTACCTTACAAGAATACACCACCCAAAGCAGGCATGCCCTAGGCATTAGCTTAGGGCATTCTCTTCCAGTCAACCTTCCAGTCAAAAAATCTCTACCACGGCCATAGGCTATAAATTGTCTACACCAATAAATAAAATTTAAAACACTTCAATTTGATTGTTATGTAATAGGTTTTTTTTCATGCTCACACGGTTATTTGCACGATACCTATGCCAAAAAACCAGTTTAAATATTTTTGTCTGCCTGTCTGTCTGTTTGTTCCGGGTAATCTTTAAAACGGTTGGACCGATTTTGATAAAATGTTACTACCAAGTAGCTGTCTATATTAGGAGTAACTTAGGCAAAACCATATGAATATATTGCTCTCAGGAAACCCTACAAAATTTTGCTTGGTCCGTGAATCGAACTCACTAAGCTATTCAAATTCCATGGGAACGAAGTCGCTGTCACCAGCTAGTAAGTAATAAGAGTAGGAATACTTCTAGTTTTATGGGTAAAATAAACAATGACATTGCTTACAAATAGCCGCCGACACAATTCTTCGCACTGAGCCCCGCCATCGTTTAGACGCGGTTCTCTCAATCCGGTTCCTGGGAACAAATGGTCTCATTAGTATTTGTTAGATTAAGTACAGTAGTTGCTTGAAATTCATGAAGTCCTGGTACCGATGCTATAACATGGAAACATTTTTAATTAAATTGCCTACCATTTCTAGGACGTCAGCTAATTCAGAATTTGCTTACTACAAATTTTATCATGCTTTATAGCATTGGGGCTTGTTATGCACTATGGTCAATAGCTGTGTAAAAAACACGGTCATTTCTTTTGTGTCTAAGTGTAATCTCTATGTATGCAAAAGTTCAATTTGTTTGTATACGTTTCAAAACTCAAAAAGTTCTGCACCGATTAAACTCAAATTTAACACGATATACAACACTCTTCAAAGATGGTTTTTATCTATTTTTTGCAACCAGAATGTGCCACAGCGAAGCGTGGCTGGCTATAGCAAGTTTATATAAAATATAGATATGACTTACGAAAGTCAGTCAGTTAATTGTACAGCCATATAATAATAGCATTTCATTTTTATTTATGTAGTCATCAACAGCCTTTTACAGTCCACTGCTGGACATAGGCCTCTCCTTACAATTAAGGTTTTGGCCTACTATACCACGCTGGCCAGACGGGTTGGTATAGGGTTTGTTTCAAGGTCCTATTAAGGAAGCCGGGAAGGCCTGCCGATTCGGTCGCGGCCTACAGGCCCATCGTGCTACTGGACGAGGCGGGTAAATTTTTTGAGATTGTTCTTTCTGCCCGCATCGTCCGGCACCTCTACGAGGTGGGCCCCGATCTGTCGGACGCCCAATTTGGTTTTCGGGCGGGGCGTTCGACAGTCGACGCCGTGTTGCGCCTGAGGGCCGTGACCGAAGAGGCCGTGAGCTGTGGCGGCGTGCTGTTGGCGGTGTCATTGGACATCGCCAACGCATTCAATAGTCTGCCATTCAGCTGCATCAGGGAAGCACTCCACTATCATGGGGTGCCAAAGTACCTGAGGCGGCTAGTGGCAGACTATTTAGAGGAGCGTACCGTCGTGTACGAGGACCGAGAGGGTAATTTGAGGTGTCGGCCCATGTCGTGCGGTGTTCCACAGGGGTCTGTTCTTGGACCCCTCTTGTGGAACATAGGGTACGGCTGGGCCCTTCGCGCCGATTTCCCCCCCGGGCTGGGTGTAATCTGTTACGCAGACGATACCCTGGTGACAGCCCGGGGGGCAAACTTCCAAGAGGCGGCGCGCCTGGCCGCAGGGGGAGTCTCCCTGGTGGTCGGGCGCATTGAGGCGCTGGGCTTACGGGTGGCCCTAGATAAGACGGAGGCCCTGTTATTTCATGATCCCCGTCGTGGTCCACCCCCTGGCGCCTCAATCGTGGTCAACTCGGCCCTCGTACCGGTTCGGGCCCAGATGAAATATCTGGGCCTGATCCTCGACGGGAGGTGGCTCTTCGACGAGCACTTCCGACAGCTTGCTCCAAAGCTGGTCGGCGCTGCGTCTGCCCTAGGGCGACTTTTGCCCAATTTGGGTGGACCCAGCGTCGCGACAAGACGGCTGTACACGGGGGTTGTCCGGTCAATGGCACTGTACGGTGCACCGGTGTGGGCGGCGGCTCTGACCGCCCAGAATAGGGCACGCCTCTGGCGCCCTCAGAGGGTAATGGCGGTCAGAGCCATACGCGGTTACCGCACCGTTTCGACGGAGGTGGCATGCGCGTTGGCCGGAACTCCCCCGTGGGATTTGGAGGCGGAAGTGCTCGCCGAAGTTTATCGGCGAGTGGCTGACTCCCGGGCGGAGAGCGGATTTCGCCCTCCGCCCGAGGATGTGCGCGAGTGGCGCGAAGCCGCTCGCCGAGCCACGATGGCTCGTTGGTCGTTCCGGCTGGAGACTCCACTCGCTGGCTTCGCCGCCGTGGAGGCTCTCCAGCCGGTCATCGCCGAGTGGGCAGGGCGGCAGCACGGGACCCTTTCCTTCCGGCTGACGCAGGTGCTTTCCGGGCACGGTTGCTTCGGAAAGTACCTGCACTCGGTCGCTAGGAGGGAACTGAGACCCGCCTGCCACCACTGCGACTGCAGTGAGGACTCGGCCCAGCACACGCTGGCGGTCTGCCCCGCATGGGCGACGCAGCGCCGGGCCCTCACTGCAGTCATCGGAGTGGATCTCTCGCTACCGGCCGTAGTACGCTCCATGGCCGGTAGCGACAGTTGTTTTACCGCGGTCGCAACCTTCTGCGAGGAAGTAATCTCGCAGAAGGAGGCGGAAGAAGAAGAAGGCCCGGGAGGACGACCTCCACTCGGACCCGATCCGCCGCCGGCGAACAGGGCGGCGGAGGCGCGCCTATCACCGCCTCATGCCGCCCTGAGTGTGGCCGCGGGTGGACGGGGTGGGTTTCCCCTCCACCCGCATTAGTTTGACCAGCCGCGAGGGGGCGGCGTCCGCGTGTGCCGAACGTCGCCTAAAGAGAGGAAAATATTGAGACGGAGCCCGCACCAGGAGCGGGCTGGCGCTAGGAGGGGTCCGGATGTCTTAATAACAGCTGGTCCCGGATCCCTCCCCTTACAGGCGCAGAGTGGCACACCGTGTGGTTTTAGTCGGTCCGAGTCCGACACACCACCCCGCCGCAAACCCCGGTGGGGTGACGGTCCGAGGGGATTTACACACGTTAAAAAAAAAAAAAAAAGGGTTTGTTTCAAGTTTTACTGCTTTTTGCAATGCTGTTGTCCTGCAGAGTTTGTGTAGTTCGAGTAGTCTATTAATAGGTACAAAAATTATTATTTTTCTATTTTCCACAAAAATATTTACGTATGTTAAACAGAATGAGCAAATTTTACCAGAACCGGTTCCCTAAGAATTGATAGGACTACATACATATACGAGTATCTTTCTTTCAATTATATACGAGTATGTTAAAGAATACCATTGATAATTTAAACACGAAAATTAGTATGTATAAATGGATGGTTTATTCCTCAATCACACTAAAATGCCTGAACAGAACCAGATGAAATCTAGTACAGAGATAGATTATAGTATGCATTAACATAATAGTTAACATAATTAGTTTCGGCATTAATGCCAGTGGAGCTTGAGGTAAAAATAAGTTTAAAGTAACTTTACACATCTCACACAAGGCCGTACGATCCCAGACTAAGCGGATGGAATGCAGCTTTTCCGGAAAATTCAATTTCCAAAACCTATTACGAGTATTACATATATTACTAGCTGACATTGCTTTGCCTAAAAAAAAAATTTAGGGATGGGTCACCCTTACCATTTAGGGGTATGAAAAATAGATGTTGGCCGATTCTCAGACCTACCCGATGTGCACACAAAATTTCATGAGAATCGGTCAAGCCGTTTCGGAGGAGTACGGGAACGAACTTTGTGACACGAGAATTTTATATATATTATTGTGTTTTATAAGTAAAATTGTGCCTCGACGATTGATTACGTACTTTAAATAAAGACTAATGTACTGTAATGGATGTTTGTTCCTCAATCACACTAAGGCGCCTGAACAGAACCGGATGAAATCTAGCACAGAGATAGATTATAGTATGCATTAACATAATAGTTTTTATATAAA